TCGTTCAATAATTCAAAGCATTTGTCCATCTCCTCCTGCGTAGAGAAGACGACAAAACAATCATCTACATCTCTAGAGTAGTGGCGGGGGATCGAGAANCAGGTAATTGCTACTTGATAGGTTTATTTGGACGTCCAAAAACGGAAGCCAGTTTTCTCTCGGTTTCTCCCGGGTGAACTTTATGTACTCGGACTGCTCGTTCAATAATTCAAAGCATTTGTCCATCTCCTCCTGCGTAGAGAAGACGACAAAACAATCATCTACATCTCTAGAGTAGTGGCGGGAGATCGAGAACAGGGGCTTCTATCTTAGACATATACACAATGGCAAGGTTTGGTGCCAATCGCTGTCCCATTGCCAACCCCCTTATTTGCGCGAAATATTTCCCAGACCATCTGAAAATCGAGCAGTTTAGGCACTCCTTTAAGAGAGCCATTAGCTGCTGGATGGACAAGCCATGCATATTTATTCTTCCTTCATGTTCAACAAGAAGTTCGAAGATGGCTTGCATTGCGGAGTCATTCGATACGTTGGTGTACAGTGCGGTAACGTCGAAAGACTCCATCACGTACGCGTTATTGGGAGACGCTTTACGTAGACGTTCTAGGAACATTTGGGTGTTTGCGAGGTGAGCTGGAATGTGGTTAAGCAACTGGGTGAGTATCAGGCTTAAAAACCAGGTTATTCTATCCGTTGGCCCGTCTACACAGCTGATGATCGGTCCAACGTTAAATGATGACGGATTGGTTGACACATGATCATCAGGTGATACCAACTTATGTGTTTTAATAAGTAAGTATAGGACGGGACATGTTGGTCTATCGATTTTAAAGTGCGAAATAACCGATGATTTTAAACCCGCAGCCTTTGCCACGCTGACCCATTGATTGTTTAGCTTTCGGCATTGACTTTTATATTCCTTTTCAGAGGATGGGCGATAGAGGGTAGCATCACTAAGATGTTCCTCTGTTATCTCAACATCCAGCTGGCGAGGGATAACTACGAACTCTCCCCCCTTATCACTAACAGACAATCTTATTGTTTTCGAGTTTATTAATTCTCTAATTTCCCGCATGGCTGTAAGGTTAGAGATAAAGTTCCTATCGCGGTAGTGATTAAGGGTCTTGAGAACGCCGTCCGAAAACACGCGGAAAACGAATTTTATGTCAACTCCATCGTTAGGGTCCTGTTGTCTAAAAAACGTTTTTGGGAAAGGAGATGGTGGTAGTGTCGCCGCCGCCCCAAACCCTACAATGAATAGCAGGGATGAATGCCCGGAGGTCATACGCGACCTGATCCCGTACGTTCGCATCGATTTTTGATGTGGGATGGTGCAGTCGTCAACCACATGCGACTATAATCAGCTGTTCTAAACTTCCTCATTGGAAGTCACGAAAAAGCGGTGGGTTTTTCGAGAAGTTGTTGATTGTGTAATTGCCGGAGAGTTCTTCGTCTTTTTGTAAGTGTTATTGAAGCGTTTGGCCTAGTAGATTGTATATCAGCATACCCTTCCAGGCTCTGAAGAAGGCGATACTGCCGAAACGTCAGCTAGCGTTGTATTGTATTGTGTTTTTCTATGGAAGTAAGTGTATGCTGTTTAAAAACCTTGCGATTGCTGAGCAAGAAAACTACACATTCATAAGTTGTTATCCTCCTTATCTGCTTATCAATCACCACAGAGTGTGATGAAATTAGCTTCTTTTCAGCCACATGTCAGATTAAGCCTGGTGAATTTTGCCCTTTGAGCTCCAGGCAGGAAAGCTATTACACTTTTGTTTTGAAAGCTATTTGCTTGTGCCACAGTTTTTAGCTAGCTATAAATAGATCGTTGAGCTCTGCCACAGGGTAGGTTTCCTCCAAAGCTGCATATCCTAATAGAAATGCTAAAATTCTTTGCAAGCCAGGAAGAGGGAACCTAGAGGCCAAAAGGAAGGTTTTAGCAGCTGCGTGGTAGGAACACAGTGAGAAAGAACAGACTAGCAGATTTCACAGGAACGAGAAGCGCTATTTACAAGGGGTGCGAGAATTGATCTTGCAAAATTCAAGTTTTCCTAACCACTAATAAAATATGGCGCAGTGATTACGTCTGGAAAAACAGTAAGTGAATCAGGAATAGGTAATAAACCTTTTGACATTGCTACAACTGACGGTGAACCTCAAATATTAGAAGAAGAATTGATTAAGTCCAGTAAGTTTATTGTTTCAGTCAATGGGTGATGCATATGACGGCCATCAGAGTGTTCTACTGGTCATCTTTGCAGTGTTTGCAACTTCTTCGATGATTTTATCACTAGTTATTATGTTGTTTTGTACTCGGTCTATAATGAAAAATCTCCTAAGTCTTGATCACTCAGTTCACCGTCATCTGCAAATTCAAGTCTACAACACTCTTCTCATTCAGGTAAGAAATTGATAAATTAGTGAAATGCCCTCAAGTTCTGTCACAGGCTGTTGTATCCTCCTCTATTCGTCAGTTATCTACTAAGAGAACGACTCGCTGCTGGCTTGGAAGAGTCGTTGTTGTAGAACGGGAAGCTCTCTCAAATCACCAAAGTTCTGTCGATTGCTTGTGATGAGGTGATGAAGACGTAATGACACGTTTGGAAATCCAGAGTGAAACCTTTTTGAATGCGTCCGCACTTTTGAACAGCTGACAAAAAGTAGTGCTAGCACTAATCTGCCTAGCCAACTTTGCGATAGGATTGAAACAATTAATTTGAGAAACAGTGCACTTAAACACTAGATCTTATCACAGAATTTTCATGAACGAACAGTATCCTCTGAATAGAAGAATGAAGGAACATAACGTTTTTCGTTGATCACTCTCTGAAGAAGGAGCCATGCGCTTGCGTTCATTATGAATCGAAGAGAACATATCTGACTTGTAAAATGAATACACAATGATGCAGCCTAGCAATGCATCCAGTCGATGTTTTATCTTCACGCAGAATCTTGGATCAGAAAAGAAATCGAGTGATTGCTACTAAATGACGCCAGTTTTGTTTTGGGGTGGAAAAATCACACCTAAATACTAGTTTTTCAGTTGTAGCATGTGGGACTGGAAATAATTGTTTTTTTTTCAGTCTGGTGTCCCGTTCATCTTCCTTCATGTTCCGTTCTACGTTTGCATGCTCGCTCCTCTGGTGAACATCACTATTGGTTTTTTTAACACTTACCTCCCATATTTGTTCGCTTGGTGTCCTGTTCTTAATCCGCTCATCGTTTTCTACTTTGTCGCAGAAATTCGTAACTACCTTATACAAAAACTGAAGTTGATCTGTTGCTTCAAGAAACCTCGAATTCGAATACTAAAAGTAACCGCACATAACGAAACGATGAGATGAAATCCGACATTTTCATAACGCTAGCTCAGCTAGGATAAGTGCAAACAGTCATTGCTGTCAACAGGATTTGATGACTCTCTGCTAACGCCTTCAAAAAGCCCTAGCACGCTGTTGCCCTTGCATCAAGGGATGGAAAGTCTTGCCAGAGCAGTCAACTACCAGTCAAAATTATGGTGGCTTGAACAATTAATCCTTAGTGAATATGTTCGAATCTTGATTTGTTCATATAGTGCTCCAACGTTACCCAAAGAGCTTCCGCTTTCTCGAAAATTACCGAGGACATAACATTTTTGATGCCAGTACTTTTGTACTCTACCGAGTCTGTCATGATGTGAATTCACGTTTAGCTAGAGTACTGGTCGGAAATATGAAACACTTTTTCGCCTTTGCTGATTCTGCTATAATGTTAAGCTCCTACCTTCATCGGTAAACTGAAACTCCGCTAATTTATATTTGGAAGAAATGTTCCCAGTGCTTCGTGGTTATTTACTCATTTTCTTGTTTTTAATTTGTATTTTTTTTATTTTAAATTTTGTAGATATCTATTGCAGATATGATTTTATTAAATCATTAGTGCATATTTTTTGGTGTTGATTTCCAATTTTTTAAGTAGCAGGGAATCGCTTTTTCCTGAAAGAATCCAAGTCGAAACTGTCTTCCGATCCACGATGGTCAGTGAGCGTTTGTGGTGAAGACTTAGGAAAACTGTCGAAAGACGGTGTTCGGATTTCAAAGAATCGACTAAAGCAACGAAACGAATAAAATGTCGAATTCCATTCCATACGTGAAGAGGGGCCATTTTAGTACCTGAGTGCAATAAATCCTTATATTCGCTTTTTTAAAATCTGACGAATTATTATTCTCCCTTAATAGAGCACTATCTATGAAAACATTCAATCCACAAATCTATCAACTACAAGTAGGTTCAGCAGTAAAGCGTTTTATGAAAATTGAGGGTGTGAAAAGAAGTTAGGGGGTGGTTTGCAACAATAACAGAGAAAGAAATTCTGATGATCAGCGATATGACGGTGACACATTAACACAGAGAACCCTTAGCATTTGATCATTTTCCTCCTCACTGTTTATCTCGCCACGTTATTTTCTATAATGAGTAACTCAATAGGTGACTTTAATGAACAGCAATAAAACGGTGGTCGGAAGAGATTACCATCATGTTAGTAAACCAGATTCACGTTTATCAGTAGATAAACAGATGCTGTTAACATGCTTTGTTTATGTTTATACCTCTTTCACTCAGGGTTTAAGTAAGTTGGCCTAAAATATATTAGTCTGGATCACTGTATTCTTCATGAGAAAATACTAGATTGTTACTTTATTGTTTACCGGCAAAAAAGCTGACATTTCGGCTGATTTTGTTTTCTTCAAAGATTGCAACACGTTCACAATCAACACTGAACAAAACGCGAAACCAAGATTTTAATCGCCTTGAAAACAAAACAGCTGTTCGTAGAATAGAAATATATTCCTCAAAGTTCATCGATCCTTTGAGGAAACTATTCCTACTTCATAGAATAATGCTGACATTCGTCTACTGTTTATATGAAATAGGACGATATTTTGTCTTCGTATACGTTTTGTTAACTAAGCTTTCATTGATATGAGGCACGATCCAGGAGCTATGTGATATGGTTACCCTCGCAGTAAACAGGTATATACTGCGGCTTCTGAGAAGGCATCACCAGTTAAACTTAAGCGTTTCCCGCTTCGTAAAGAGTATTTGGAGTAGGCACGTCAAAAATTGATTGACCGCATTAATTTTCGCTAAAATGTTCACATCTGGAAATAGAAGAAGAGAATTGTTTCGGAAAAAGATAGATAAGATGCCAAAAAACAAAGTCTACCTGACAGGTAATATTATTAAAATCAATAATTGCACAATTGGAGCTCATTGGAAAGGCTTTGATATGCTAATTAATTGCACTAAAGTCTTCTCTTCTTCAGTATAATGGCGAGGAAGCTTGTTTTTCGGCAATAGGCTGAAGTTTTTACAAAGTGTTCTTCTAACTTAAAGTCTTTAACTCAAAATTGAGATCTCCAAAAAGTTGGGCGAAGAAACTAAATTTTGCAAATTGTTAGCGCCTCTGCTTCAGCATAATGGAAGCTTTCATAAGCGCCAAAAAATCGCAGCTTCGTTCTGGTGGAATGAAAACGCCTGTGTTTCGCAAAAAATTGATTTGTTTATTTCAGTGGTTTTAATTTCAATTAATGAGTTTAGTATGAGCCGAGATATATCGGCTTAAATTTGAAAGCGACCTTTATTTTCACATCGTGCGACTTCATTTGAAATTTCCATCAATATCAAAAGCGGTGACTATGTGGTCAATTTGCTTACACTTCTATCGTACGCAAATCTTCATTTCGATTTACGCACTCGAGAGACCGTAACACCACCGAATCTCGTGCTGATAGATCATGATTCGACTGATAACGTTCTTCTTTCAATTTCGATCGCCCGTGTGGAAGCCATACCTTCGTCTGAGTATATTTGATGTGATACAACCACAATGATGGTGAGATACTTGCAAAACTCCGGACTGCTGATGTCTGCGGTAGGGAACGAACGCGCTATTACCTTTTGCGATGACTGACGCGTTCACCACCACACCATGCGGGTCCTTCGTTTCGTCTGTCTCTCAGTTAGTTATATTTGATGTGTTAATTTAAGTGCAAATGTTGGGTACGAAGAGCGCATTGCTGAAGATTCCCTTCAGTAGTTCGTGGTAGAACACAGCGGTGGGCAACGAAGCTTCTCCAACCCCGCGGGTTTGGCTAATTAGTAGCAAATTTATCTGGGAAGCCTGCAACAATTTACAAAGAATGATGACTGTTTGTAGTGAATACGTAAGGATGCCGTAACCTGGCTTCTACTCTTTATGGGAATTATCCCACAATTTTAGTGAGGATTGACTCAGCCAGCAATTTACAAAATAAAAAACCGGAACTATTCAATTAGCAGCCGAGCCCAAATATCGATTCGAAGACCTTTGTAGAAGATGGGTGCGAAGACACGCGTTGTGTGGAATCGGCGCAAAAATTCAAAAAAGTAAAGAGATAAATGTAAATTTTGAATAACAATCAGTTGATAAACAATTCTTTAGACCGTTGCTTCCTTACAAAGAAAAAGCACTATGGTCAATCGATTAGGAACAGTGTTGCGTCTGGGGAACAGTGGAATGAGGTTGTGAGGTTGATTCGTTTCTCGCGAAACCGTTCTTTCTACAAGAAAGTGCCGCGTAAAGCGACCGCATTTCTGTACAGCTCCACTTCAATGGAATGGACTCCATAGGACTACGAGTATTCATACTTGCCAGAAGGCACTCTACTCCAATCATCACAGATCCGAAGAAAGCGATGGCGCCAAATTGTTAACTTCAATAAATATTTGCAATAAATTCTTTTAACCACACCAATGAACAAAGGCAAAATAACATGTGTTTAAATTTTTGAGCTTGCACGAGATGGATAAACTGGTTTCATTCGTTTAAAGTGTCAACCTCTTCGCCTTCATCAGAGCCGATGATCCGAGTAGGAGGTCCACAATACCCCATATTCTCGATGTAGCGTCTTCGTCTTCGTATCGAGTCAGATTACCCTCGTGGATCAAAGCAGAAAAGATGGTTTTTAGGTTTGCGTGATTCCAACAGGTCGTAAATGATAGGTAAAGTTGTAAAATGATATTCATAAATCTCTTTGATATCTCTGTCTTGATCACGAATTTTTTAGGCAACCCGAATTTTGAGGCATAGCATTGCTATCGATGTTTCAATGATCAGATCTTAGCCGATTATTCCAGTGATTTCCTCATCTCTACCCGATAACGCAGATTTTTCCCACAGCTTGGCTTCTTTTCTTCTATTCTGATTTTTATTCCGATAGCGTAGTCCAAATGCAGATTAAGATGAATAGAGAAAATTAACACCTGAAGTGTAGAGAAAAGGCGTTGCTTGAAATCTTTTGCAAAACCGTCACGAAAACACAAAGCTTTATTCAAAAAGAAGGTGTCGAAGTTTTAAATCACGAAGTTGGCAAGTTAATCAGGTTCGCACTGTGGATTCACTAACACTGCCCTCACCCCAAACTTCATTAATGTTTCGACCCGTCTCTGCTACGCTACGACCAGACCGAGTTTGACGTCTTTGACATCTAAAACCGCAGAGCTCAAAACTGGTTTTAAAAAGTCTACTTTTATCAAAACATAATTTATTATTACACAGTAGCTGATTTTTCGACTGTGTCGCCTTATTCAGAGCCGTTTTGATCTTCTTAAGTCTTCCATCTCAGTCACATATCTTGTCTCACCATATAAAACTCTTTGCGGCTGATCTCCAATAACAACTGGAGTGCTTAAGATCATCATAACAGTTTTAACGGAGGCGAAAGCGCTGAAAAATCAGCTACTGTTGATGAATACTATAGGGAGCGACAATGGACGCGTGTGGCGCAGTGGTCGGAGGCGCTCTGTAATACTCATAGGGTCAATCCCTGCGCCCCACCAAGGCTTCCATCTTTCCGGAGTCAGCAAATTGATGACAGATTTGTCTGGGAAGACAGCACCACCGGCTCGATACATCGGCAGACCACCTGGAGTCATCGTCAAGGCCAGATATCCATTCAATATTCAATCACTTCCAACGATGCTCAATGATGTCGAATTCCTGGGGCATTCCTCAGGGAATGATCAACGCCGTGCTCCTTATTGTTTTTTTTTATTTTAATTAACCATCAATACATTCGCTGCATGGAACCGTACCGGTTTTCTGTCTTTGTGTTACCAATTTCAAACTCTTTTACATTCAATGACCAGATGAGGAATGTACTGACGTGTTTCTGGTCATTAGTGTGTCGACTACGAGAATGAATACAGTCTAAACTGATGAGGTCTGCATTCGACGTAAAACTTTGTCCACATATATCTCCCTTGTTGGAGCCGAACTAAGAAAGAATAAAGCCGAAAATCAGAGAAAAAACAGGACAAAAAA